TTGGGGGCTCATGTACTACCTCAGGGTACGGGGCTGACCTTGGGGGCTCATGTACTACCTCAGGGTAAGGGGCTGACCTTGGGGGCTCATGTACTGCCTCAGGGTACGGGGCTGACCTTGGGGGCTGCGTCCCCCGGCCGTCACCTGGCTTGTGAAGGGCCGACATGCTGTGCTCAGCATGTCCGCCTTGGTGGGCCCAGGACAGAGCATCTGGGTGTGTGCTGGTGAGGGGAAGGTCATGTTGAGATGGCTGTGGCCCAAGCCAGGGCCCCAGGCCAGGTGCAGGGAGGGGCAGAGCTGGTCTTGCCTTTCCGCACCCCTTGGACTGGAGTCAGAGGTCCTCTGAGCACAGCCACAGCCACCGTGTGTGTGCTAGGCAGCCATAGATGAGAACCCAGGCCTTTCTGACAAGAATCACTCAGAAATAAAGGCAACAACGTTTTCCTTTAACAGCTTTTTGTTTGCTTTCAGTATGTATTTTTCTTTCACAAAGATTTTTTTGCCTGCAAAAGCTACACAAAATTCCACCAGTTATAATTTTCACAGTAGCTGTCTATCCTAGGGAAGCTAAGGAGGAAGGAATAAGCTCACTACATGGACAAAAAGAGAACTTCCAATTATTCTTATGTTTTTATAGCCATGACTTTTAAACCTCAGGGGGATTCAGGGAACACAAGAACTTAGAGCCTGAATGAGGAGCTTCAACAAGTCTGTCGTTTCCCAGCTCAGGCAGAGGGTGCCTCGGGGCTGCCACATCTAGCAGGGGCTGGGAAGGTTCCCTGCCGTGAGCTGCGAGTCGTGGCGCTGGAAGCACGGAGGGGTTTTCCTCGTGCTGCGGAGGCCCCTCTGCGTGGAAGCTGTGGTCTACCTGGCGCTACCGCTGCCGCTGTCAGCAAAGTGGTTTCCTGCTGTTGGCCAAGAGCTCTGCTCCACGCAGTCTTGAGCGTGGGCTTGCCCAGTTGATACAGGTTGACTAAAACCCGCAGAAACCTAGTGTGATCCCCAGATGCCAGTGGGGAGAGCTGGCAGGGCCAGTGCTGTGCTTGCTTTCAAAATAAGCACCAGAAATCATGTGAAAAGGAATGAGAAGGGACCAGTGTTTGACTTGTCCTTGGTGCCAGTCTTAGGGCTCACCACGCCGTTCGGTTCCTCCGGGCTGCCGGAGCTTAGCACGGAAGGTCCGGAGCTGCAGGGCTCCCGAGCTGCTGCCCAGCTGTCCCCTCAGGAGCCCAGGCAGCCACTCGCTATCTGCAGGTAGACGTGATCACGAGTACCTGCCTTCATGGTTGGCTTGTGTCTCCTGGAGTGCGCATTGGTGTTAAGTAGCCTGTTTGCACCCAGGAATACACGTCCTGCTGTCCTATTATTTTGTGTCAAGCTCTCTTCTTTATTCAACGAAACACTAAAATATGCTTTTGGGTCTGTTTTAGGAGGTGATGCAGGATTACCGAGATGAAGTCAGGGATTTCTTTGCAGTTGACAAACAGCTGGCCTCAGAACTGGAGTATGACCTGAAGAAGTACAGCGAGCAGCTGACCCCGGAGCAGGAGCTGGCCAAACACGCAGGAGTGGACAGGGGGCCGGCCGGTGACACCAGGGCACAGGCCACACAGGTAGACAGGAGGCCGCCCGAGGTTGCCAGCTTTCCGTCTGCTTTGCGCTGTGCTAGCCGGCCTCAGAGCCCACCTGCCCTCGGTGTGCCTGCCTATGTTGTGAATGAGGGGTGTGCCCACAGCCTGGGGCTCCCCTGCCCACAGGTGCCACCCGGGCCTTGCCTGAAAGTCACAGTAATGGTGGAGATGTGGGCGTGTCTAGCAGGCGGGCTCGCGGAGCAGTGGGCCTTCCCCTCCAGGGCGGGTGGGCGTTTGGCCCTTGTGGGCTTACTCAGGCCTGCGCCTTGGAGAGCAGAGGCCCAGAGTCTGCTGGGTTTAGCTGCTGCTCTGCTTGGAAGTGAAACGCTCTCCCTGGCTGAGGGACCAGACAGATGTGCACCAAGAAATGCCAAGGCCAAGCATATTGGTTCCTTTGTCTCTTTGATGTCACGCTATCTGCATAGTTTGCTGATAGCTGTGCTTTGAAGAAGTTATACTAACCCACACTGATACATATATTTTAATCTTTAGTTAATCTTTATTTTAATCTTCGGTGCATGGTCTCGCTACGCAGCTCAGGCTTGTAGTGATCCTCCTGTCTCAGCCTCCCCAGTAGTGGGATTAAAGGCTCACGCCACCACACCCAGTTTTGGGGCTGGTTCAGCACCACCCAGGGTTCCATGGTCAGCAGGGCATGCGGTACTGGGGATAGAACCCCGGTCCTTGTACTTGCCAGCAGGTGCTTAGACCACCCAGCTATCTCCCCAATCTGCCCACGCTGATACATTTTAAGGTAGGCTATACACAGGCTTGCCCCTATCCTGTGACAATTCCACTGATCTTCTCTTAACAGGTTGCCCCAGGTTTAGAAGCAGTACCAGCTGCTTTCGGCCAAAAACCAGCCATGGTTTCTCCAGCCCTGAGCTGGCCTACTGCAGCTGGGTCCAGTGCTAACCACGCGCGGGAAGCTGGGTCTCCACAGATCTCGGTGCCCAGGGTCGGGTAAGAGTGCGCTGAGGCAGGGGCCATCCGAGTTGCTCCCAGTGCTGGTGCTCTGACACCAGTGTCCCCTCGGAGGCTGGCAAGAGGGTGGGCCAGATGGTTCACAAGGCAGAGGATGGGCGTCTTGGGCTCGCTGCCCCAACTCAGTGTCTGTGGCCTGTAACCCTCCCTAGGACCGTGTCCCTGAGTACCATCGCAATCCTGAATTCTGTCAAGAAAGCTGTGGAATCCAAGAACAGGCGCTGCAGTCGGAGTGTGGGAGTGCTGCCTTTCTCGCTAAGTCCCAGCAGCCCGGAGAAACCAGACGGCCATGGTAAGCCCTAAGATTGGCACCACACGGCCAGAGCTTGCGGGCACAACCCTGGTCCACATCTCATTCCTTTTCACACGGTTTCTGGGGCTTCTTTTTAAGGCAAGTGGCACCAGCTGGGGATATAAGATTATAGATGAGAAAATGATCTATGTCTATGCTAAAAGGCGTGGAAGGAGAGTGGCACACAGGGCTCACCCGTCCCCCGGTCTTTCTACTCGCGTGCGTGTTGTATTTATGAAGTTGTGATCTTGGTACGCTTTGTCTTATAACCTGCCTCCTTACACAGACTTCCAGTGACCTACCACATAGCTTTTCATGAGCTTTTAAAGCTTTTCTCATGGCTTTATAGCCTTCCAGGTTATCACATATCAAAGCAGTTGTTACTACCAAATTCGTTCTTTTTTTTTGAGACAGGGTCTTGCCATGTAGCTTCAGATTGGCCTTGAACTCACAAAGTGCTGGACATACAGGCGTGTACTCCCAGGCCCAGCACTACCCAGTTATTGAAAGCATAGATGTTTCTCAGTTTTTTTTTATATAAATCAGTGTCACAGTAGTAAATCTTTACCTACACAGCCTTGTAAGTTGAGATTATTCCCAGCAGCCAGAGGCTGTATTTAAAAATTCTTTTAGTATCAAACTATCCATTTTTCATGCCAAATGGTACAGGTGTATATATTCCTACTTTAGAAACACTGGTTTTATAATTTTATATTGTGTTTATACACCAAAAATTATGTGATTTTAATTTCCATTTCTTTGAATTCTAGTGATAATGGGCATTTTTTCCCCATGTTGGTCATTTATTTGTAGTTATACTGATTTTTTTTTTTGTCTATATTTTAGGGAAGGGTCTACAGGGTGTTCAGGGTCTCACTACTAGATCGGACTCCTAGTGATTCTCCTGTGTACAGCCTCCCAAGTGCAGGGATTACAGGTGTGTGCTCCCACGCCCAGTCTCAGTCACAGTCTCGTGTGCCCCAGGGGCAGGGCCCGCGCAGGCCGGGGATCGAGCCCCCAGCTCCTGGGCCTGCTTGCAGGCAATTTAATCCACTGGGCTATTTGGCCCGCCCTTTGAATTTGTTTCTTTATAAGAATACTTTCAGCATTAGCAATTTAAATGTTACTGTATGTATCTTACGTTTTCGCATTTGGTTTTTTATTTTGTGATACTGTTAGGTGTTTTGGACCAACAACTCTTCCATTCTGTTGTAGCGTCTTCCTGCAGTGTAGCGCAAGAGAGCAGCGGGTCTGTGGACTGGATAACCAAACGAGCCATCAGCACGCCAGAGAGTAAGTAGTGGGCCCTGCCGCCCGCGCCCGGCCCTGCCCGCCAGCAGGAGCGCTGAGCCTCCATCTCGGCCTCTCCCAATGCACCGCGCATTGTGGGGCCTTCTTGGGATTGCACATCCCATGCTGATTGCAGCTGCTGGAGTACTTGAGCATTCCAGAATGTCAGGCATTCCTTCCGGCGCTTTCAGTTCAATCCGATCTTCAGCAGCAGGATCCTAGTACGACCAAAGAGGCTGAGGCCCAATAGGTCGGTCAGGTCACTGACTCAGACGGCGCCTTTGTGAAGGGCCCGTCCCGTGCAGGTGCGCGCGCACTCCCTGGTCTCCTTGCCC